CGGACGCCCACCTGCCAGGTGTGCGGGGCCGGGCTTCCGGGGGTGGGGTCCCCGCCCCCCCTTGCGGCGTGGCCTAAGCTGGTTGGGTCACCAGTGACGCGCAGGTAACAATGCCAGCACCCCCATCTCTCAGCACCGGGGCGATCGTGCGCGGCGGGTGCATACTCTACCTGGCGCTCGCCACCGGACATCCGAGACCTTCCAGGGCAGCGCTGGGAGTGATCCGTTGTCATGGAAACCTGAGATGAGCAGTCAGGAATCACGCGTATGGGGATCTAGATCCTGTCCCTTTTGGCCTGAGGAATGGGGAGCAGAACGAGCCTACGAGGTCCCATGCTGTGGCACCCCGCGTCTTATGGGCCTCCCCGTGTTGCCATCCTTCTTGGGTCTTGCTGAATTCTCGGTTCATAATGAATTGGCAAAACCTCCCTCCTGGGGAGAGGGAAGTAGTTCCTGAGGGGTGGGAGTTCAGAGGAAGTGTTTCTTAAACATGATCGCACTTGCTGTCCCTCTTCTGGGGAGCCGGGCACCGCCTCTCCTTATATTCTGTCTTTATTCTTTGCTGCTTGTTTCCTCTTCACCCCTCCCTCCCCTCCCCACCCCATAGGCCTTTAGAGACCTCGGGGTCTCTAAGGCATGGCAGGAGTCTGGAGAAAAGGGCACTCCCCTCCCTCTCCACTCCTGTGAAGTCCAGTTAGGAGCGGAGGCTTTTCCAGAAGTCTCCATGTGGGAGCCCAGCACAGTGGCGGTTCCATTCACATTAAGTGCAAACGCCGATTCCCGTTAGTCATGGGATTACTGGGAAGGAACATTGGGTCAGTCTTCCCTCAGTGGGCAGAAGCTCTTTCTGCCTCATCAGCTTCAGCTTTGATCTATAAAATAATGGTACAGACCTTCCCCCTCCTTCCCTCCCCCCCAGTAAAATGCATGACAACTATGCTTAACCCTTGCTGTATCTTATACACAGTCACCAGAATGTGTGATTTTGCCTTGTCCTGTGGAGAAGTGGACTGTCCACAGTTAATCTCCCAAGGCGTGTGAGACTCAAGTGATACCAAGAAGTGTAATAAGGAAAACATATTTGAAACCCAAGTTCTCTTTTGGATTAACAAGTGCAGTGGGTTAGGTGACCGCTGTCACCCGCCTGTGTGCCCTTTCATCCATATGGGTTTGCAGGATCAGTCGGCTCCCACGTGTCCCCCCTAGTGTAGCAGATGACACAGTTTTAAGATGACTGGCTGGATTAAAGGGCCCTGGGGGATAAAAAAAGTAAATTGGTTTTTGTCCAAAACTTTGGACACACTCTGGGCCCGTAACTACTGGGTAAATACCTGTGAGAGTAACAGCAGTTAGACCTGCTTAGCAAAGAATTAGCCAAAAACAAAACAAAACCAAAACCAAACCCGCTTTGGTAAAATCTGGGCTACCAAATAGTGTTTTGATTCACAAGCCAGAGTTTGTTGTTTTCATTCTGATGGAACAGAATTTCTAAACCCAGACAATTTTAATCTCTTTAGCTTGTTTTAGAATGTATCATAACAAATATTGGCAAAAAAAATTATGTTTTACTTAAAAGTCATAGTCTGTTTTAGTTGATTTCATAGAGGAAAAAGAGCTCATTCCTGATATCTGTAGCTTGGAAGAAGTTAGCAACTTTCAGGGATTCTCAGGGTCATTTAATTCCAAAACCTAGCTGAGTTTCAGTCACCTGAAGACATGTTTAGAATTATTAGATTCTCAGAATGGGTGGCTATGGCTTCTGTTTTCAAAATATCTCCCCAGATAACTCTTTGGCGGTCATTGTTAATGTACTCAGTGCTCGCCATCACTGTGACTGATTTTCTTCATACTTCTATTGAGGAACTGCAGAGAGACGAGACAGACCAGAGAGCTGGCTTCAGCTCTTGGTCGCCTAGCAGCAATCCAGCCTTGCGCGAGTCCCTCGCTCTTCTCGAGCCCTCAACTCTAGCTCTGCAACGGTCTTCTGGTTCCCACCGCTCCCAAGTGCCTGAGTTGTGAGCTCTGTCTGTAAGACCGTTAGCAGACGAAACGTCTCCCCGTGGCGTGGCAGCCCCCAGAGCATAAGGGAAAGGGCACAGGGTTCAGCTTGGGAAACTTCTTATTCTAACTAAATAAAAGAGAAAGACAGACAGACAGGAAGGAAGGAAGGAAGAAGGAAGGAAGGAAGATTTGATTCCAGATACTATAACCCACGTTCATCAACCTCCCCATCTTTTTTTTTCCACACTTATGTTTTCAGGTGATTGAAAGTCTCACTTTAAATGCTGTGTTCGTGTGCTGATGTTTTCTCTGCAAAGAGGGACTGCTTCTCTCTCCTCCTGTCTCAGTCTCCTGGGCCACTCTGTTGCCCACACGTCTGTCATGCCCTGCTTCATGGTTTCCCTTCCTCTAAACCCCTCCCCACTCATCTCCATGCCAACCCTGCAGTCCACTGTGGGCGGGGCCTCCGGGTGCCAGCCCCGCGCCCGCGCACACACACAGGGCCCGGCAGCCTGGTCCTTACTTGTGCACAAACGCCCAGCCCCCTTTCCTCCCCCAGGTCTGTTTGGGGACCGAAGTTATTCACCTTTATGTCCACAGCGCCTGGCGTCTAAGCACTATGCCTTTCGACCTCAAGTGAAATCCACAATTTGAAACATTTTAAAGTGCTTTCATTGTGGTACTTAGGAACCTAATTGGTTATAAATCAGGACTTTAACCCAGCTGTTAGGAGCAGAGGCCCTGGGGCCGCCTCCGGCCATTCCTTCTCGGCTCCTTCTCTGCCTCCCATCCTGCCGAAGCTGCAGCTCGGCTGTGACATGCCCAGACACCTCGGACAGCTCCCGGGCGCGCCTGAGCCCCTGGGACTCCCTCCATCGCTGCCACTTAACCTGGTCTCACATCGCTGTTCGCTCTGCCTGCAAGTCCCCCACCTGTGCAGCAGTTCTGGCCCAATGAACTCGAATGGCAGATACTTCGTTTTCCTCCAGTGTAGTGCACATGGAACACGGGACAGAGTCAAAACGCAATGGGCCAGCGAGGTGTAATGTTAATTGAGTCATTTAAGGTCTTAGAACTCTAGTATTTAAGCAAAAAAAAAAAAAAAAAAAATCCCATCTCACTAGCGATCTCGGCCTTTTAAGTTTGTTTAAAAGAATGGATACAGCAGACATCTTCCTTTTCATTTCAAGGGAGCAGGCAAATCTCAGAGGAAGTTCTGGGTCTGTGCTGCCCTTTCTGGATCTGAACCCTCCCACCCTTGAGGGCATTTAGTTCTAAACTGGAATCTATGAGCCTAAAACGAAAGGAAGGTTTACAGGGACCTCTGGAGTGCAGCCCGCCCAACACTGAGGCCTGCAGCTGGCTTTGGGTCTCAACGGTACCGGTAACTGTACCGGTTTTTCTCTGCATTCGTCAGCGCTCCAGCGGCCCCTCTGGCTTCTGCATGAAATAAAATGGAGCAGGCTGACTCAGAGCAGGAGGAAGGGGTCACCGCCATGCCTGGCACAGCCGCCGGGTGCCTCAAGTTCACCACCGAAATACCCCATTATTCACGAGACCTTGAGTATAAATACGTGACTCTGGCTTAATAAGTTGTCCTGTTGGTTTGGCTGTTTAGTAGTATATTCAGTAGTCATGATATTCGAAGAAAGTTCTTCGTCCTCTTTTTCCATCTCTGCCCAAAGAATACGTAGTCCGATTTTTACGGTATACCCAAAGTATACAGATCCGTTTTTTGCTAAATTAGCTTTAAGTCCCGTTTACTATTGGTTTCTCACGTTAGTGTAATTGGATCCTAATGTCAGTAATGCTCATGCTAGTGTGAGTGGGATAAACAAGTCTGCATGCGTGTATACATGCGTATACATGTGTACGTGTGTAAATATGTATATGTACATGTGTGTACATACTTCTGTATATGGGAGCTCTGGGCTCCGTCTCTAAGCATTTTATATATATGTTTATATATATGTGTGTGTGTGTGTGTGTGTGTGTATAGACACACACACACATATATATATAAACTATATATATAAACTGATTAAACTTGGTATAAACTGATTTAAATATTCTCTGAACCTCAGTTTAATGAACTTTTTTGGAGTACGCTGGATGTTACAGCCAGGAAAACCTTTAAAAACAATCTGCTTTAGGCGGTGAATCTTCTCCATCTAATACTAACCGTAGATAAAATAAAATGTATTCTCCTTTCTAGGTGAAGGCCCCCTCCTGCTACAGCCTGGAAAACACGAATTTCCATTCAGCTTTCAACTTCCATCCGAGTAAGTGAAACCATGATAACTTCTGTGATTTTCTTTCCTGCCACACGTACGGGTACCAGATGTCCTTGGTCCCCTGCCCTGCACTCCGCAGAGAGCCCCTGAATAGACAGCCCTCTTTTCTTTTAGCCAAAAAGACCACACACTCTTTTCTTTCCATCGAAACCAGTACATTGCAAAGCTCTTCTGCTTAACTGACAAGTAAACCGATATGTCACTTTCTTCGGCCCCCCGTCCAGACCGCTGGTCACCTCGTTCACTGGGAAGTACGGCAGCATTCAGTACTGCGTGCGGGCGGTTCTGGACCGACCCAAGGTACCTGAGCAGAGCGTCAAGCGGGACATCCAGGTTGTCAGTCACATCAATGTCAACACGCCGGCCTTACTGGTGAGTTCCTCCTTCCCGTCTGCCGCCCGCCCGCCCGCCTGTGGAGAGTTGAGCGCTGGTCTGTCCCATCACTTTCAGAGAGAGCATCTCGGAGCCCATAGGCATCCACTGTAAACACGTGACCCTAGGTCGAGCAAATGACAAATTGTGCGCGTGCGAATACTGTCGACTCTGCGCCCGTCGTTGAGGGCCGCCTTTGCCAAAAAGTCACCCGGGCTGGAAATGCGTGAATGAGGCGTCGCCCCAACAATGCACCCGGAGCGGGCCCTCGCTTTCCCCAGCGGGGGCGGCGGGGTTCTCAGCCTCCCCCCCCCACCCCCCGTAATAGCAGGCTGAGGAGCAGTAATTACGGGAGAGCATTCATCAGCTGGGCCACGTGTCCTTCCATGTCATTTTCCACCATTAAGTAAGCGCAGGCAGCTGCCGCGGGGACCCTTTCACTTAGCATCGTCGCCTTGTGACAGATTTGGCCACATTAAAGCATTGAACTCCTCATAATCACCAGAAGTGCTGTAGACTGATAAGAAAGATGAGGCTGTGAGTAACAACAGAATGAGCAAGATGGGAACTAATGAGCGAGAGTCTTTTATCCGAACCCATATTATCAAAATAATGTAAAATTATACCTTGTACTTTTCACGATAGCTACTGGGACCTAATCGTTCTTCATTTAAATATGAATGAATGTTTTTTTTTTCCCCCTTTTATTTCATAGAAAATACTGGGATAATTTAAACTTTCCATCACGATACTGATGTTACAAAGATGCATTTTTGGTACTGAAGGGTCCCTTTTCTAGCCGGGGTTTTCAAAGAGAAGGAAAGGAGCCGAGAGTTACAAGTTTTTAAACTCGATTTTCACATGAAAATAAAACAGAATTTACTCTAATGTTCACATTTAGATTATAAAAATGGGACAGATATGCCCTGTTTGCGTGGTCCCTTGTGGCCCAGTCCCAGCCGACCGGTTCACAGCTGGGACTTAGCCTGCTTAATTAGCACCTTTTCCGAAAATCCACAATCCTGTGTGTTGTATTTTTAAAAACTACTTAGAATTGGGAGGTTAACTATTTCTAAACTATTTATGCAGCCATCGTGGCAAATGATTTAAAGAGTTTTTTTGTTCGTTTTTTTTGTTTTGTTTTGTTTTGTTTGCCGGAGATACTATTATTTGTCCTTCACTATCCTTTCTATAAAGAAAGAAATACTGTAACGTTAGGTTTCGCAGTGAGCCGAGGGTTTGTGCACTTGGGAAAATGACCGTTTTAAATCTTGTGTCACTTCTTGTGACGCCACAGAGCAGAGCGGGGGTGGCACGTCTAGTGACCTCTTGGATCCGCTACACTGCGAACGTTTTGCTGCTGTTACGCAGACCGCCAAAACCGTCCCAAGTCAAGGACACTTGAGGGTTCCGCCTAATCATGTAACGCATTTCAACGTAAGGAAAAAAGGCTGTTTTTGCTCATTCCACGTTTTAAATGCCAAAACAAATAGGATGTTCTGGTGATTGATTTTTAGACCCTTTCTCCTTTTGCCTGATCTACATACAAAGGCTTTTCTAAAAAGTGGTTCTGTCACATTAAATAGGGACCACTACAGTTTTTCAGCTGCTCTTCTGAGGGACTGCAGATCGTTTCCCAGAAACGTCATTACTATAGGGTAAAATACGATAGTGTCACCCTAATTTGTATCTGAAAAATCACCTGGCTTTTTCCTAAAAAGAGAATGATTTTGAATGGTTCGCGTTTCAATATTTCACCAAATATGTCATATGGGGATAAGAAAGGTTGATGTGTTTTTTTTTTTTTTTTTTTTTTTTTGGAAGACACCTCTTTGATACTACTTGATGAAGAATAACATAATTTTAAGTTTTGTGGATTTTCCAGCCTCGTTTAATTAAAGTCGTTTTATTATTTGGCATTTTCAAGACCCCCGTATTGAAAACTCAAGAGAAAATGGTTGGCTGCTGGTTTTTCACTTCCGGTCCAGTGTCGCTGAGTGCCAAAATCGAAAGGAAGGGATACTGTAACGGTAAGCAGCGCGTCTGAAAGTTCCCGCGAAAGATTTACGAATGTTATCAGCTAACACTAAGCGATTTTAAATAGTGCGGTTGGAGATTCAAGAAGCACGTACTATTTTTAAGCGCGTATAAGATTTTCTGTTTTCAATATAAATCATTGATATTGAAGTATTTTCGAGAGGGTCAGTAGAGTCCGGTAAAGCCCCTCGTGTTCTGACTTCAGTACCGTTACTTTGGTAGCAAAGCATAAAACTAGGAGAGTGGGGAAATGCCAGCACCTCATTCTAATGTCGCATAAGGATGTCCAGCACAGTGTGGCTCAGGGGAAACCCACTGTGTGACGTGAAGGTGGAGCCGGGCGCCTGGGGTCCCTGCTGGGCACGCAGACATGCGGGGTTCGAATCCAGACCGTTAGGCATCCTGATGGTCAGATCGATACTAGAGCTGCCATTTGTGAGGGGCCCCATTCTGTGCAGCGGACCTGGCCCCTGCTCTGGGGTGCTGGCTTGCTGGAAAGGGGCGGTAGGCGTACCGCCCACGCCATCCAGGGCCGAGTTTGCGCCTTACCACCCAGTCCTGAAAGGCAAAGGCTTCCTTCTCCTGTTGGGCAGATGATGACTGGATGGATGCTCACGAGCGTGTCAGTGATCTTTCGGACTCAACATGGCACCCAACCATTTATTTCTGTATCTTATTTTCATGCTTAGAGATACTGGTCATTTACATATCTTTAGAGCTGGTAACCTAATATAATATTGCTTCATTAAAAAGAGAATAATGTAGTCATTAGAAAACAACGTCTCCCGCAACCTGCCCTGAATTTTCATTTCTCCAACTCGGATTTACAATCTAAGTGTTCCTTCCGTCGGGGCTCCTCGGTTAGTTAACGTTATGCTGCAAATGTTTCAGCTTTAGTTGGTAACAGCTCTGTTCCACCGCGGCGAGAACCTTCTGGAAAGCTTCTGAAGGTGTTTTCTTTTCCCCGTAGGAGAAGCAATCCCGATCTACGCGGAAATAGAGAACTGCTCGTCTCGTCTGGTTGTTCCCAAAGCTGCTATTTTCCAAACCCAGACGTACTTGGCCAGCGGGAAGACGAAGACCGTCCGGCACATGGTCGCCAGCGTGCGGGGCAACCACATCGCCTCCGGGAGCACGGACACCTGGAACGGGAAGATGCTCAAGATCCCGCCCGTCCCCCCGTCCATCCTGGACTGCTGCATTATCAGAGTCGACTACTCCTTGGCTGTAAGCGAGCTCCTCTCAAGTCAAGGGGGCAGAGAAGGGAGAGAGACCCAGAACCACGTGTGACCACGTGCATTCAGTGCCTGGGAAAGTGTCCTTCTCAGTCAGCCGCGTTAGGACAAATCGTGGACCATGTGAAAACTGGCCTTCGTGCTTAATCGAAAACTACCCGTCTAAGAAATTCAACTCATATGACATAAGACAGTTAAGGCGCATTAAGGGTGCTCGTTGTATCGAGGACGTGGACTTAGTTTTTCCTGTGGTTGTCACGTAAGCCGCGCTCGCCGGCAGCGCAGTACGCTAAGGCCACAGCTCCCCGCCACGCAGCGTTCGCTGTATTTAGTGTGCTCTTCGTTGTTTATTCTTCATTTTATCTGGTCAGGACAATGGACGATTGTATTGGGAGGGGCGGTGGCAGGCGACAGGCATTTGTTTCTACAGAAAAATGAGCTATCTACTGTGAGGGTCAACTTTTTTGTGCCTTTCTCGCTCTGATTCTCTCTTTTTCTTTCTTTTTTTTTTTTTTTTTTTTTTTTTTTGGGAAAACAGGTTTATTTTCACATTCCTGG